CAACCAAGGCCGAAAAAATATTGGACAAAATTCAACATCCATCCGTGATTAAACACAACTGTCTGAAAACTAAAAGTAGAGGGGACCTTTTAAAATTTGATAAAGAGCACCTACCTAAACATGTACAACTAGCATGATACCCAATGGGCGAAAGACTGTGCCTTCTCGCTAACTCTGGGCAGCACGCACACTGCGTGGAGCTGGCGTTGGAGGTTCTTGCTGGTACCATAAGGCATGAGGAGTAAATAAAAGGCCTAGAGATTCTAAACGAAGAGGTCAACTTTTCCTATTTGTAGGTGGCGTGGCTGACTATGCATGAATCTCCAGGCAGCCTCCACGTAAAAAATGCCTAGACCTCACAAATGAATTCAGCACCGTCTCAGGACACAAGATAAAAACACAGAAATCAATTTTATTTCTATAACTAGCCATGAGCAGTTGGGTGAAAGTAAAAATACAATACCAGTTACACTGAAAAAAGCAAAACACTTAGTCATGAATCTAACCCAACATCGCAGGATGTGCAGGCTGGAACACAAAATGCCGGGGAAAGAAGTCGAAGATCTGTGTAAATCTGTGCGCACCATGTTTACAGGGAAGACATCGGTTCTCCTCACGTTGGTGTACAGATTTAATGCAATTCCTATGAAATGTCAGGGAAATTTCTTACAGATATAGACAAAATTATTATAAAACTTAGGAGTGGCAAAGGAACTGAAATGGCTAAAAACCAATTTGAAAAAGAAGAATAAAGTGGGAGAAATCAATGTTCTCGGTTCCAAGACTTATTGCGTAGCTACGGTACTGAGACTGCGCGATGCCGGGGAGGCGCAGCCGCCCAGATCAATGGAAGGGGAGGAAGAGCCCAGAAACAGACCCACGCAAATACGCCCAGCTGGGGGTTTTAATTTATTATTATTTTATCCTCACTTGGGGACATTTTTCATTGATTTTAGAGAGAGAGGAAGGGACAGAGAGAAAGAGAAACATTGATGTAAGAGAAATATTGATTGGTTGCCGTCAGTGCCCACCCTGACCGGTGATCAAACCCACAGCTGAGGCAGGTGCCCTGACTGGGAATTGAACCCACAACCTTTCAGTTACAGGACGACGCTTGAACCAACTGAACCACACTGACCAAGGATCAACTGCTTCTTGACAAAGATGCAGATCCATTCAGTGGAGCCAGGAAAAGGATCATTTGTTGATCCTTTTCAACAAATGGTGCTGGAGCTATTAGACATTCATAGGCAAAAAAAAAAAAAAAAAAAAAGGGAAAAATCAATCTTGATCTGAATTTCAACCCTACATAAACTTTAACTCAAGAAGAATCATGGATCTAAATATACAATGTAAATCTGTAAAAAAATTTTAAACAATAGGAGAAAATCTTTGGGATCCAAGCCTTAAACAGAGTTCTTGGACTTGATATCAAAAGCATCATAAAATCGATAACTTGGATCTCATCAAAATTAAACACTTTTGCTCTGTGAAAGACCTTTTCAAGTTGAATAGACAAGGTACAGACTGAAATAAAATACTCGCTAACCACACATCTGACAAAGGACTAGTCTCTCGGGGGTATGGAAACGCTTGGGTTGCAGCAGTAAAGGCCAGCAGCAGCAAAGGGTCGCACAGCACGAGCAGACATTTGGTCCGGCACAGCACACGGCATGTAAGCCAATGAAATGATGCTCAGCACCATTAGCCACTAAGGACATGCAGTGAAAGCCACAACAGGATATCACTACGTGTCTCTCAGAACAGCTAAAACTGAAAAATAACGACAACACCAAGTGCTGGCGAGGATGCGGAGGAACGCACGCACACATTGCTGGTAGGAGCCCCACTTGGCGATGTAAAGGAATGTGCCGTTAATACACACAGCTTAGTAACTATCCAGAGAATTATTTTGAGTGAACAAGCCAGTCCCAAACATGAATGCTGTGTGATTCCATTTCTAGAATATTCTTGAAATGACAAAATTTTAAAAATGGTTGCCAAAGGTTGGGAGGAGAGTGGGTGTGGCTATAAATGGCGACTGGAGGGGTCACTGCGGTGATGGATGAAAATGTCCTGTGTCTTGACTGCACCAGGGTCAGGGTCCCGGTTGTGTGCATTCGCCAGATGCCACCATTGGGGGAAACTGGGTAGAGGTACCAGAGTCTCTCTATATTATTTCTTACAACGTTTGCATCTATAATTATCTTGACATGAAAAGTCTGATTTAAAAATAAGGAATAACATGTTAGAGAATCCCAAGGTTTCTGGGTCATCAGACTTGGAGTTGGACCTGGTCGTAGGTAAGATCCTTGGTGGTAGAGACTAGAAATTCACTGTAGAAGTAACTCATGCAAAAAGAGAGAATTCATAGAAAGTAATTGTATAAGAACTTTGATTGCCAATGACAGAAACCCAGTTCAAACTGGGTTAAAGAAAAAAATTCCAAAAAAGGAAGTTGGGTTCTCACAAAGGAAAGCCCAGGGGTCATGGCTTCAGCTTGGGGATCGGGCTCCTTTCCCCTGAGTCGGCTCCACCCTCAGCTGCCCTGGTGGTAACACGGTCCCCAGAGGCTCCTGGTTCCCACTCAGGATGAAAGGAGAGCCCTGTTTCCTGATAACTTCAGCAAAAGTCCTGGGGTTGAGTCTCATTAGCCTAACTTTGGTGTCACGTGCCCATCCTGAACCAATCACTGTGGCCAAAGAGAAGCAACACTCCCATTGGCCAGGCCTAGGTGCTCACTCCTTGAGGCTGGGGGTGAGGTCAGCCCCATGCAAACAAACCACAAGTCCAAGAGGAGCGGAGGAGTGGTCCGTTAACGGAGGGGATGCAGGTCTGGCAAAACCAACCCGTGTACTCGTGGAATCCCAGAAAAAAGTCTGCTTCTCCATTCTCTGTCCTCAGGTTCTCAATTCCATCACTCTAGCTCAAACAGACATCCCAGACTGAACTAGCATCTTGAACTTCATTGCTCAGAGGAGGGATAATCCGATTAAACTAGCCTTGGTCAGACCTTCAGCCCTTATCCAATCATCTATGAACAGCGGGTGGAGTCACCTACCGGACCCTCTGGTGGACCCGCGGTTCTTAGAGGGGCCAGGCAGACGCCCCCACAGCTGTCTGTTGCAGATAGTGAGAGCTTCTGGAAGATCCAGGTGAATTAGCTCCTTATCACCGTAGAACAGGGAACTCTTTTAATGGGATGGGCAGCAAGCAATGGCTAATGACTGGGGGTCCCCGGGAGGAAGGCTGCGTCCCCACACTTCCCCATGCTTCCCGCTGGGTGCGCTGAGGCTGACAAAGCCGAGCCGCAGGGGCGGAGTGCACTGCACTCACTCCCAGGACCGCAGGGGCAGCGATGCTGAGAGACCCTACGGGTTGGTGGAGGGGGAGGCTGGGGGCTCAGGGGCGGTGCAGGTTTGGCAACAACAAAACTGAGCCCTTCGTTTGGAAGAAACCAGTCACTAAGGCAGAGACTGGGGAACCGGAATTCAGAAACCAGACCAGGTGTGAGTAGGGCAAGGCAGGTCCAGCATGTTGCATCCACCAACGCGAGAGACAAATTGTCAGAAACTTTCAGGATTCAGAAATGTTATTTAATTGGCCAAAGTTTTAACCTGCGCAGGGGCGGACCCTCAGAGTGTCCAGAGACACGGTGCTCATAAGAGCTGCAAATGAGAGCCGCCCTAAGCGCTTACAGCTAAGTCTTTTTATAGATGCGAGCAAGCAAGCATTGTATAGAAGCAAATGTGGCTGTTAGCTACTGGCTACTCGGGTGGCGCAAGCAAGCAAGCATGACCTAAGCTTTCTGGGTTTTGAGTAATGGAAAAATTTTAACCTAGACACTTGAACAGGTGGTCCTCTCCTTGTTCAGCCCCATTGGTTTTGTAGTTCCGCCTTCTCCACGCCCTATGTTCTTTCTTAACTTCAGTGGTTTCTGCTCTAAGTTCCTTGTTCCTCCAGGCCAAGTCTCTTCAAGGCAGTCCGTATTTTATTCCCTATTTTTCTGGTTTCAACACAGCACCCCTGGGTATAAATGTTACCATGCGGTCTTGCTCAGAAGAATCAGGCGGGAGGCTGTTTCTAGGGTGGGCACCGGCCGGCTGGGGCCCCAGGCCACCCATCCCTTCTTCCCTGATGTGGGTAGGCTGGTCCTCGGCCCGTTGCTCAGCACGTACCTTAGGGGAGCGCAGCCAGCAGTCCCGAGCAGGGCTCGGAGGAAGTGTGGAACCACCAAGGTCATTATAATTTAATCTCTCAGAGGGAGGGCTTGGAAACCAAGTCAGACAGAAGCAGGTAGAAATTGTGCTGATAGTAATGATAGCAAACCTTTCTGGAATGCCGGCCGGGTACCGGGCTCTGTTCATCTCCTTTAATCCCGGAAACAACCCTGCCAGGTGGAGCTATTGTTACTCCCACTAAAATGGATGTGAGGAATACGAGGCAGAGAGGTTAGGCATCTTGTCCAAGGTCACACATGAGCAAAGGTAACAACTGCCACAGAAAATCAGCTTTTAAGGTTCTGCTTCCCATCTATTCCCATCACCAACTTCCACTAATCCCCTCGCATTCCCTTACTCCAGCACCCCAAGTCTCCTGCAGTGGACTGTTCCTACTCCCGGTGCCGCCATGCCTTTGCACACGCTCTGCCCTCTTCCTGGGACGCCCTTCTCCCGGGCAACCCTCCCTCACCCTCCCAGACCCGGCAAACACAGTTGTAGGGCGGGAGTTCTTGCTGTCTCAGCCCCTTTGGATGGAATGAGCCGCTCTCTTTCTGCCTCCTGATTATAAACTCCGCCATAGCTGCATCACAGTGCACAGATGATGCTGTCTCCCACACTGCACCATGTGGGGCGCAGGGACCAAGTCTTGTTCTTCTGTACAGCGACACCTGCTTAGGTGTGGCCCAGAAGAGGCCGCCATGTAGGGTGCATGGATGTGTGGTGGGTGGGGCTTCCTGTCCCCCCCTCACTGGCACCTCTCTCCTGGTCTTTCCGCAGCCTGGCCTGGGGCTCCTTTACCTGCTGCATGGCAGCCTCTGTCACCACGCTCAACTCCTACACCAAGACGGTCATTGAGTTCCGGCACAAGCGCAAGGTCTTTGAGCAGGGCTACCGAGAGGAGCCGACCTTCATAGACCCTGAGGCCATCAAGTACTTCCGGGAGAGGTCAGTGCACATGGGGTCACCTCTGGCTGCCAACAGAAGTGTTCTGGGCGGGGGTGGATTTGGGGTGGAAGGGGTAGGTTGGGTGAGGCAGGGTTTGGACTTCACTATGTTGGAATATCTGGGACATGTTAATGTTTCAAGGGGCCTGTGACTGCCTTGAGCTTAGGTAATCAGAGCCTGAGAAACCAGGAAGGGAATGGAGGTGGAGTGTTTGTTGTTTGACCTCTGTCTTCTGAGAACCAAGACAGGGACATAGAAAGGCTGAACCAAGGTTTCCATCTTGGGGTCTGTCACAGCACTGAGTGACGAGAAGACCCGGCTGTGGGGCTGGTAACGGCTACTAGAGGAGGACTCCTCAAGGTCAGGGGCCAAATCCGACCCCCTGAGTTTTAGAGTCCAGCTGGGAACAGAGGAGGTGACAATAAACAGTGACTAGATGGCTGGACCGCTGGGCTTGTGGAAGGACGGAAGCACGCGTGCATGGATGGCGGGCACATGGACGCGTGAGTGGATGGATGATGGGTGGGCGGGAGGGCAGATAGGCAGGTGGTGAGCATATTTCCTGGGACCACCTCCCAAATAAACTGCCTCACCCAAATTCTGATCGCACAGTCAGCTTCTGGGGGAGTAACTGGACGTGCAGTAATGTCCTTCAGTGGCAGAAAAGTGACAGGTCCCCAGGACCGAGTCTGAGGAGGAAGAGGGGGAGGAGGGGGAGGGCGGCTGTGAGGGGGCATCTGGCACCGGGAACGTAGGGGGACGGGGTAGGGGCGGAGAGGCGGGCACGCTCAACAGGACAAGAAAAACTGCCCACAGTGTTGAGGAGTTGGACTCGCCGTGGGGCACATGGAAGGGTCTCGGTCCCAGGAGTCACACAGGGGCCTCTCTCTGATGCCATCGCCTCTCCTCTGCTACGTGGGCCTCCTTTACTGTTTCTTGAACACTGCAAGCTCGGACCCACCTCAGGCCCTTTGCACCTGCTGTACTCCTGCTGAAATGCTCACCCGGCTGGCTCACTCGGGTCTCTGCCCAGTGAGGTCTTCCTTAATCATTTGGTCTAAATCTGCACACCCCCAAACACCCTGTCCTAGTCACTCTTTAGCCCATTGCTTTTTTTATAGCCCCTGTATAATGTCACATTATTCTATATATTTATCTGTTTGATAGTTTATAGACTGTGAGCTCCATGATAGAAGGGCTTTGCTGTATTGTCACTGTATTCTAAGCACCTAGAACTGGGCCAGGTTCCTAATGGATGCTCGCTGGATTTTCCCTGTGTGATCAGCTGAATTCTTCTCTTCGGAGACCTCAGCCCTGACTACCTCATGCCCTTTTAGCTCAATCCCCAGCGTCGTCAGGCAGACTCAGCATCCCCACACTCCCACGCCAAAGCCCCAGGTCAGGTTCAGACCCGCGCCAGTCAGCTGTGCCAGGGCAGTCGGGCTAACCCGGCACGTGGGCCTGCCTCCCCCACAGCCGCGGCCACAGCATGTTCAGTAGGAAGGAGGAGATGACTGGTATAGCGTGGGACCCATGGCAGGCACTCAGGAAATGTTTACAGAAGCCATATAAACAGCCCGATGTCTAAAATCGTCCCAAAAACACTGCACCAGTTGTCCCCTCGGCTATGGGAGAGTGTGGGACATTCGTGGGCAACCTTGTTTTGCTGAGGCAGAAAACAAGATAGCTTCCCACCAAGAAGCGGCTGTTTGCCGGTGCCCCAGTTCGAATGGTCCCCGTGATGCGGGCGAGGGCGCCTCCCAGCATGCAGTCCCAGATGTGGGTCTGCACATTCACAACTGGAGCATTATGCAGAGGTTCATCAAATTATTTCCTTTCTTCTCTGAGGAGGGTATCTCAGCTTAACTGGGCTGCTCTAATTTTTTCTTTCCCTTTTCCTCTGTTGTGTGTGTGTGTTTGTGTGTGTGCGCGTATTCCCTACAACACGCTCGGAACACACAGATCTCTGCACGGGTTTGCTGGTGGCCCAGAAGCAGGGCTGGGGTCCCTCAGGGGCCAGCATCCCCCAGCCACAGCCAGGGACACGGGGAGGAGACCCACGGTCCCACCTGCCCGTCTTTCCTGCCCGTGGGGGACAGTGGTGCTGTAGAAAGAGCAGGGGTTTGGAGGCCCCCGTCTCAGTGAGTTTTCCAGTGCTGCGGCTTTGCTGCTGTGTGACTTGGGGCAGGCAGGCAGCCCCTTGGGGCGGGACTCCTCCGACCCGCAGTGGGACAGCCAGAGCTCCTGGCTGCTGGGAAGGCTCCAACATGATAAGGCAGGTGATGTGCGGTGGTGCCGGGCACACGGAGAGGGTTTGTATGTGTGAATTCCCGTCCCTTCTGCTACTGAGGCAAAGTGCAGAGCTCAGGAATGGTTAGCCCAGGACGAGGCAGAGATGGTGTTTTAGGTATTAGGGTTTCAATAGTCACATTGGTAACCACAGCTGACACTTCTGCGGTGCTCACCCTGTGCCAGCATTCCTCTAAATGCTCCGGATGTTAATTCCTCAGCACCTCTTCGAGGCAGCAGGTGTTATTGTATCCCATTTTACAGTTGCAAAATCAAGGCACAGAAAGGTGAAGGGACTTGCCCCAGGTCACACAGCTGGTAAGCTCAAGAGCTTGGATTTGAACCGGGTCAGTCACCGTGATGTGTGGCTGCCCAGGACTGATCGGCAGTCTCTGCTCCACACTGAGGGGGTCCAGCAGCAGGGCAGGTGAGGTGCCGCTGCCCCACCCCACCCGGGTCCTGTTTGAGTTTTCTGTGCAGGAGCGAGCCCACTGGAGGTCTGAGGAGCAGGTGGGCAGATTCTGAGAGGTTTCCAGGGGCTCTGGGATGTGGCAGTGTGTGGAAGAAAGGTGCGTGGGTGCACGTGCCTGGGGCTAGTGTGCACACACGTGGGGTTGGGGTGAAGGGAGCCTACCCCTCCTGATGAGCCGCCTCGCTTGCTAGAAGAAACTCCTGGAATTAAACCCTGTGTGTTGTCCCCAAGGAGGGCATCTTAATGGGGCCTCAGAAGGAGAGGCCTGGGGGAGGCTGAATGAAAGGTAAGGATTTGCGGACCGGGCTTTCATGAAGGCCTCGAACAGACCTGGTTTAACAACGCGGGGAAGAAAATGAGGCCCGTTGGGGTGGACTCCTGGGATGGGGGGAATTCGGCCTTACTGAACACACACCCCACCTCCGAGGGAAGTCTGCAGGGAGTGGGGGTGGAGAGCAAAAGCCTGGGCAGGGGGGCAGCTCCCTCAGGCCATTCTGGGCACTTCACTTGCTGTGCAGCATGTACTTCTCTGAACTTCCTGGTTAATTCATTTGCTTTCTTGCTTGCATCGCCCTCCTCCCACGTGCAAACCTTGAGAGCTTGTCCTTCATGGTTTCCACTCAGTCCTGGTCCCTGGAACCCCAGGGCTCAATACGTTGTTCATAATGATGATGTTACTAGTGACACTGCCGAGCTGTGCAGCGCCTTCTGTAGCCAGCACTGCTCGGGGCCTTCCCTGTCTGCGTCCCCTCCGTGAGGAGGTGTGAGGACATAGACCAGGGCTGGGATTGCTGTGGTTCCCTGGTTGTGAGTGCCCTGGTGAGTCGCTTCCCCTCTCCAGACCTCAGTTTTCCTGGCTGGAAAATTGCCCTAAGTTATAAAGGCTGGTGTCTTTTCTCAAAGCGTTGTTGTCAGGATTACATGAGATGATACAATTATGTTTCATGCACAAAGGCCGCATCCTCCCTTCCTCCCCGTCCCAGCCAGAAACCGCCCTCTGTGCCGGGGAGGACACACTGCCCGCCCGGTAAAGGGCACAGTGTATGTGCACACTGGGGGCCCTCGGAGAATCCTACCTGAGATGTACTTTGTCTGTACCCCATGGTGCTCTTAAAATTCTTTTAAAATTATTATTATACTTTATTGATTATGCTATTACCGTTGTCCTGATTTTTCCCCCTTTACCCAGCAGACCCTATTCCCTCAGGCAGTCCCCCCACCTTTATTCATGTCCATGGTCCACACATACAAGTCCTTTGGCTACTCCATTTCCTGTGCTGTACTTTACCTCCCCATGGCTATTTGGTGACTACCTAGTTTTACTTCTTAATCCCCTCACCTCTTCACCCGTTCCCCACAACTCACTCCCTTTGAGCAACCATCAGAACGCTCTCTATATCTGTGATTCTGTACCTGTCCTTGTTTGCTTAGTTTGTTTTTTAGGTTTAATTGTTGATAGATATGTATTTTTTTTGCCATTTTATTGTTCATAGGTTTAGACTTCTTTTTCTTAAATGAGTCTCTTTAACATTTCACATAATAATGGTTTGGTGACAATGAACCCCTTTAGTTTTACCTTGTCTGAGAATCTCTTTACTGTATTTAGAATGCCCTTTGACTCTAAGTGATAGCTTTGCTGGGTAGAACAATCTTAGCTGTAGGTCTCTGCTTTTCATGACTTTAATATTTCTTGCCAACCTCTCTAGCCTGCAAAGTTCTTTTTGAGAAATCAGCTGACAGTCTCATGGGAACTCCCCTGTAGGTAACTAACTGTTTTTCTTTTGCTGCTTTTAAGATTCTCTCTTTATCTTTAACCTTTGGCATTTTGATTATGATGTGTCTTGGAGTGGGCCTCTTTGCATCCATCTTGTTTGGGACTCTCTGTACTTCTTGGACTTGTATGTCTATTTCCTTCACCAAATTAAGGAAGTTTTCTTTCACTGTTTTTTTTTTAATTTTTAAATTTTTTTTAGATTGTTTAGTTGAGATTTTTCTCGTTGTTTTGTTTTGTTTTTTTTTTTTTACAGATTTTATTTATTTATCTTTAGAGAGAAAGAGAAAGAGAGAAACATCAATGTGTGGTTGCCTCTCATGAGTCCCCTGCTGTGAACTGGCCTGCAACCCAGGCATGTGCCCTGACTGGGAATCGAACCACGATCATGTGGTTCACAGGCCCGCCCTCAATCCACTGAGCTATGCCAGCCAGGTCTTTCACTGTTTTTTTAAAATAAAGTTCTAA